TAATAATAATAATAATAATAATAAGTAATAATAATAATAATATAATAATAATAATAATAATAATGATAATAATAATAATAATAATAATAATAATAATAAAATAACACCGTAGAATAAGAAAAAAATAGGTAAAAACAGACCCCAGTTTAATAGGCTCCAGTCCTAATAGACCCCAAGCCTTATGGACCCCAATACTATTAGACCCTTCTTATAATTTATTCAAAATCTAATCATGCATTTAAATTCAGGGTCTAAGTCGTTAACAACAAAAAAATCAGGAATAATTTATCTAATTCTAAATGAGACTTTAGATTTAGCTTCCTGTCTAGATATCAAAAACAGAAGGTATAGCAATTAAAAGCATTAACTGCAGCTAATACAAAATCAAATCCCAACAGGCATTATAATTAGGCAAAAATCTCAACTCTAATTCTAAAAATCCATCGTTTTTTTTCATTACGATATTTACAAAGATGGAGAAAAGTGTAAATATCATGTAAATCATTTTCAAAAGAATGTAAATAAGAGTAAGATATTTTTGTTTTGTTTTTATTACTAGTAAAATTGACAATGACTAATAAATAAAATATCAGGTAAATAAAAACTAATAAATTATGAATAATAGGATAAATAATAGATGAAATAATCGTAGGAGTAAATTAATGTATAAAATTATAAATATTAATGATGAAATAGATTGATAAATAATGAATAAATAAAAAATATATAAATAAATAAATAAATAAATAAACAGGAATTAAATAAAGCGATAAATAACAAATGAAATAAATTGATAAACGATGAAATTAAAAAAAAAACATAGTATGAAAGTCGGTCCCACAGACATCACGGGGAGGTGTGGATATAGCACACTGTACACTAACCCTTCGGTACACCTGGGTGAACTGGGAAGTTCGTGATCGAACCAGCGGCCCGTGGAACCGCAATAAACGATGTGGCTAAACAATCACAATTCACCAACCACAACAACCACAATCAACAACCATCGTATTGTTTACCGGTGTGAGGTAGAAGTTGTAAACAGAGAATATTTTAACGATGATTAACAAAATTTAAACACCCAGTGATTAAACAAATTACTAACAAACAGAATTATAACAAATGATCTTCACGGATTTAAACATGTCTTATGGAAACAACAACAACAACAAAAACAACAACAACAATCTACAGTGGAAAACAGGCCATGAGTTCCTATTGTGATTCTGTAGACATTAAAGTGATATTCTATTTCCTGCTAAACATTTTGTAGTATCTGAACAAAAATTATATAGTTCTCTATCTATCTATCTATCTATCTAGTGTACAGTTGTTATAGCGGGTAACCCACGTCAGAACACGACAGTAAGTGTTATATTCATCAATTCGCTCAATTTCAAATTAACAATGAAATTTTCAATGATCAAATATCATGGAATTTTTATAACCAGAACCAGACAACTTTAAATTAACTAGAAATTAAACCTAACTTTTTTTATCTATTTAATCATTTATAATTTTTTTTCCATGGAACGAGTTTGTGTTTCAGTATTAAATCAACCCACATAACAAATGCCCAATTACCAAATAGTGATGATTTACCTGTCCTAAAGTGAAGGCCCATTATCTCGTTAACAGTACAGGTAGTTGGCTGGTATACATATTACTAAGCTAACACTAGTTGGCTTGTATGCATATTATATATAATTATGTAGTTTGTGGCTCATTTACACATGATATCGGTACACTCGTGTTAAAAAGGCAGAGAGAGAGAGAGAGAGAGAGAGAGTTAGCTCTCCCCTCCAACACACGTTACCCTAAAAATAGGGAAATTGGTCATAAACTCCTTTAGTGAAAAAAAAATCTGATTGGCGATGAATATGTAAGGGGTGTGGGGAGGTGAGAAGCGGGGTAGGGGAGGTGTAGGGAAGACGGGGTTTAGGGAGGTGTAGGGGAAGACGGGGTGTAGGGGAGGTGTAGGGAAGACGGGGTGTAGGGGAGGTGGGAAGACGGGGTGTAGGGGAGGTGTAGAGGAAGACGGGGTGTAGGGGGAGGTGTAGGGGAAGACGGGGTGTAGGGGAGGTGTAGGGGAAGACGGGGTGTGGGGGAGGTGTAGGGAAGACGGGGGGTAGGGGAGGGGAAGACGGGGTGTAGGGGAGGTGTAGGGGAAGACGGGGGTGTAGGGGAGGTGTGGGGGAAGACGGGGTGTGGGGGAGGTGGGAAGACGGGGTGTAGGGGAGGTGTAGGGAAGACGGGATGTGGGGAGGTGGGGAAGACGGGGGTGGGGAGGTGGGGAAGACGGGGTGTAGGGGAGGTGTAGGGGAAGACGGGGTGTAGGGGAGGTGTAGGGGAAGACGGGGTGTAGGGGAGGTGTGGGGGGAAGACGGGTGTGGGGAGGTGTAGGGGAAGACGGGTGTAGGGGAGGTGGGGAAGACGGGGTGTAGGGGGTGAAGACGGGGTAGGGGAGGCGTAGGGGGAAGGACGGGGGTGTAGGGGAGGTGTGGGGGAAGACGGGGGTGTAGGGGGAGGTGTAGGGGAAGACAGGGTGTGGGGGAGGTGTGGGGGAAGACGGGGTGTAGGGAGGTGTAGGGAAGACGGGGTGTGGGGAGGTGTAGGGGGGCAGGGGAGGTAGGGGAGGTGTAGGGGAAGACAGGGTGTAGGGGAGGTGTAGGGGAAGACGGGGTGTAGGGGGGTGAAGACGGGGTGTAGAGGAGGTAGGGGGAAGACGGGTAGGGGAAGTCGGGGGGGGGAGGTGTAGGAGAAGATGGGTGTGGGGAGGTGTAGGGGAAGACGGGGTGTGGGGGGTGTAGGGGAAGACGGGGTGTAGGGGAAGACGGTGTAGGGGAAGACGGGGTAGGGGAAGACGGGGTGTAGGGGAGGTGGAGAAGGGTGGGGGGTGTAGGGGGAAGACGGGGTGTAGGGGGTGTAGGAGAAGATGGGGTGTAGGGGAGGTAGGGAGAAGATGGGGTGTAGGGGAGGTGTAGGGGAAGACGGGGTGGGGGGGTGTAGGGGAAGACGGGGTGTGGGGAGGTGTAGGAGAAGACGGGGGGTGTAGAGGAGGAAGACGGGGGTGTGGGGAGGTGTAGGGGAAGATGGGGTGGGGAGGTGTAGGGGAAGACGGTAGGGGGAGGTGTAGGGGAAGACGGGGTGTGGGGGAGGTGTAGGGGAAGACGGGTGTAGGGGGAGGTGTAGGGGAAGGATGGGGTGTGGGGGAGGTGTAGGGGAAGACGGGGTGTAGGGGGGGTGTAGGGGAAGACGGGGTGTAGGGGAAGACGGGTGGGGGTAGGGGAAGACGGGGTGTAGGGGGATGTGAAGACGGGGGTAGGGGAGGGGGTAGGGGAGACGGGTGTAGGGGAGGTGTAGGGGAAGACGGGTGTAGGGGAGGTGTAGGGGGAAGACGGGGTGTAGGGGAGGTGTAGGGGGAAGCAGGGTGTAGGGGGGGTAGGGGAAGACGGGGTGGGGGGGGTGTAGGGAAGACGGGGTGTAGGGGAGGTGGGAAGATAAAGTGTAGGGAAGACGGGGTGTAGGGAAGACGGGTGTAGGGGGATGTAGGAAGACGGGGTGTAGGGGGAAGACGGGGTGTAGGGGGATGTAGGGGGGGATGTAGGGGAAGACGGGTGTGAGTATGGCAGGGTGTAGGGGAGCGTTAGATTAAGGTTGGTGGGTTAGGTTAGGTTCTACATTACTGTTCCTATGTACACATCAATTCAAAATTATAGATAAATATATGAACTTATTGCTAAATTACAATTACACACACACACACACACACACACACACACACACACACACACAGGAGATACAAGTGTTAATGAATAAAACATGATGATACAGTAACACTTTTAAGGCGTTGTTCACTATAGCTTTACCACTTTTCTGATGTGTTAACCTAGATTATTATGAGACTAATAATAATAATAATAATAACAATAATAATAGTAACTAATAATAATAATAATAATAATAATAACAATAATAATAGTAACTAATAATAATAATAATAATAATAATAATAATAATAATAATAACAATTGTAATAATAATAATAATAATAAATAATACAACAGCAACTACTTCAAATGGTTCTAATAATGGCGACGATAATGATAATGAAGATAAAAATAATGACGAGGATGATGATGATGATGAAGAAAACTAACAAACATTAATACTGATATCCAAGACGAATTATTATTACAAAAACAGAATTATCATTGATGTCAAAAGGACGAAATTATAGGCAACAGTCAACCTGGTATATCATCTTATTTAATTATTATATTATTTAATTTTATTTCATTATATTATTATTTTATTTCATTATTACAGTGTCATTATATTTAATTATTTTATTATTTAATCGTATTTAATTGTTATTTTATATTATTTATCTTAACCTATAAAAATATATTAATCATTATTTTAACAATTAATTAACCAGATATAGGAAATAATTAAATAGGAACGAGTAGTTAAGTTTATCTGAATATTTAATTGCTATTAGTATCTTTCCTTAAGTACTAATAGTATCTTAAGTGCTATTTATATCTTAGTTAAGTGCTATTAAATATCTTAACTGCTATTAATGTCTTACTTTAACTGCTATTAATAATTGTTCAGTAGAATTGAAGGACGTTAAGTGCTATTTATATCCGACATTAAGGGATAATGATATATTACATTAAATTGCTATTTATCGACGTTTAACTGCCACTTATCGACGTTTAACTGCTATTTATCGAAGCTATTATTTTCATACATCAAGAGCTATTAACATTTTACCTAAAGTGCTCTTATTATATTACGTTTAAAAGTCCGATTAATATTTTCTACGATAGGTTAGGTTTGGTTAAGTTACGTTAGGTTACGTTAGATTACGTTAGGTTAGGTTAGGTTAAGTTACGTTAGGTTACGTTAGATTACGTTAGGTTAGGTTAGGTTAAGTTACGTTAGGTTACGTTAGCTGTAGATACGTGTAATAATCAATGTCTCTCCGATAGATCGATTCTATATGCGATAGATTGGGGACTATTACACCGGTTATGGGTGACTTGTGGGCCAAGACATGCCGCCCCTGGTATGTCCCTCTAGCCCGAGAAACTTAAGGGGAGGAATAACTGATAAAAGTAAAATAAGGAAACATTAAAGAAAGATTTCATTCATAAGATAACAAGTGAGACATAAAGATAATAACTAGGGGGAAATATTTAAGTGCGTGAGACATAAATTATATATTCTTGGTAAAATACTCGAGTCATAAGGACAATATTCATGAGACATAAATATTAAATACCGGGTGATATTCAAGTGAGACATTAAATATTATATTCCCGGGAAAGATACTGCAGTGTGTGAGACATTAAAATATGCTCAGTGAATAAAAGTAAATTTTATTATAAAAGAGAAAAAAAAAGACTTTGAGGGAAATAAAGAAATTAATTGAGACAAAAAATAAGAACTAAGTGATCGAGGTATAAAATAAACTGACAAAAATAAAACAAAACTGACTGAGAAAAATATTTGGTATATATAATTAAGACGTAGATAAAACAGTGAGACAAAAACAACGAAATACATACAGAAAAAAAACAGTGACAAAAAAACAAAAAAAAACTCAGTGCGTCGAGCAAAAAAAAAAAAAATAATAAAATAAATACAAAATCCAGTGACTGAGACATTAAACTCCTCTCGGGACGTGTTTCAGACAAGGTCAAGGTCACAGGAGGTCACGGAAGATCAATAAAACCTCCAACGTCTCACAAGAGGTCAAAGAAAGTCAATAAAACCTCCAGACGTTTCACAGGAGGTCAAAGAAGATTTATCTGGAACATCAGTTGAGGTCACGGGGTATTTCAAGTGGCTCCAAGAGGTCAAGTAAGGTCACACGGGTCACACCGCACAAGGTTAGGTCAAAGGGAAATACAAACGGTTCCCAGGAAATGGTATAAGAGATCAGAGCAGTTTAGACGAGGGCCTCGAAACACCGTAGGAGGTCAACAGAGGCCGGGAGAGTCAGAGGTCATAGAGGCTGTGGAAGGGAAGAGAAGTTCAGAAAAAACTCGAAAGGTTTTACGAGGCCAGAAAGAGGTCGCCAGAGGTCAGAGAGCGTTCACTAGGCACCTTGAGAACACCCCAAAGGAGGTCTCAGAGGTCATTGTAGAACAGAGAAACCCCATAGAAGACGTTAGGAGTCACAGATGAAAGCTTGATAAGTACTCAGTGAGCTGCTGAGGTTGTAGGAGACCGCCGCAAGAGGCCCCCAAAGGTCACAAGAGACCTCTAACCACAGAAGGCCACAAGAACCTCCAATAAGCGGCCCCACAAAGGCACAAGAGAGTTCCAATAAGCCACAAGAAGACCCCAAAAAGCCACAGGGGACCAAAATAATCACCGCAAAGCTACAAGAGGGCTCTAGCAAATCCCACAGGAGGCCACAAAAGGGCCCCCCAAACTCAAAGGAGGCCACAAGAGGGCCCCCAATAGCCACAAGAGGCCACAAGAGTTCATCCAATACCCACAGGCCACAAGAGGGTCCTAATAGCCACAGGAGGCCACTCAAGGGCCCCCCAACAGCCACAGAAGGCCACACAAGGGCCCCCAACATCCACAGGAGGTCACAACAAGGCCCCATAGAGCCACTAGAGGGCCTCATAAAGCCACTAGAGGGCCCCATAAAGCCACAGGAGGCTAAACAGAAGAGCGGGTTCGTGTAAGAGCGTCGTGTAAGACAGGATGGGCTCGACACTTCACGTTATGGACACAGTGTACAGGAAGATGGAGGGAAGAAAACACTGGTGCGCTTCGGTGCTCAAAGTCTGGCTGCTAGCGACCATCCTTCACCACGTGCAAGGTAAGTGACACTCTTGTTGTGGGTGATGGGTTGTAGGTGATATAGATACTGTACATGATAAAGTGGGTGTTGTAGATGGTCTAGTGGTGTTGTAGGTGGTCTAGTGGGTGTTGTAGGTGGGTTGTGGGTGTTGTAAGTGGTCTAGTGGGTGTTGTAGGTGGTCTAGTGGGTGTTGTAGGTGGTCTAGTGGGTGTTGTAGGTGGATTGTGGGTGTTGTAAGTGGTCTAGTGGGGGTTGTAGGTGGTCTAGTGGGTGTTATAGGTGGCGGTCTAGTATAGTCTAAAAGAGTTGTAGATGGTTATTGGTTATTAAAAGAAACTATAGTGAATGATTATTGACTAATATGTTGTAGCAGATTATAAATGTTACAATTAGTTGACAGTTGTTATGCGAGGAGGGGTAGGGGGGGAGGGTAGGGGGGGGTAAGGGGGGGATGAAAGGGGGAATAATCCTTGAATAGTGAATAATTAATAATATTATATATAATGTATGAAGCTAGTTGAATATATCACACTGTATTATATATACACCTGAGGTTAATTAATTACAGGTGTACATATCTGATCGCACCTGTAGTTACATTAAGGCAACACATTTGTAATGCTCTTCCCAGGTACATATTACTGTACCTGTGTTGATTAATTAGATGTTCATGTTATATGGGAATTAATCTACCTGTAATTTATACCTAATTAAGACACAAAAATGTAAGTTAATTTTTTTATGATTTATTTATCCTTTCCTCTAGTCTACAGTATGTTGTATGCATGTAGTGGTAGTGGTGGTACAGGGGATTGTTGTAGGTGGTGTAATTGTGGTTAGTATGGTGAAGGAATTGTTGTAGTGGTGTAATAGTGGTTAGTATGGTGAATGAATTGTTGTAGGTGGTGTAATAGTGGTTAGCATGGTGAATGAATTGTTGTAGGTGGTGTAGTAGTGGTTAGTATGGTGAATGAATTGTTGTAGGTGGTGTAGTAGTGGTTAGTATGGTGAAGGAATTGTTGTAGGTGGTGTAATAGTGGTTAGTATGGTGAATGAATTGTTGTAGGTGGTGTAATAGTGGTTAGTATGGTGAATGAATTGTTGTAGGTGGTGTAATAGTGGTTAGTATGGTGAATGAATTGTTGTAGGTGGTGTAATAGTGGTTCATATGGTCAAGGAATTGTTGTAGGTGGTGTAATAGTGGTTCATATGGTGAAGGAATTGTTGTAGGTGGTGTAATAGTGGTTCACATGGTGAAGGAATTGTTGTAGGTGGTGTAATAGTGGTTCGTATGGTGAAGGAATTGTTGTAGGTGGTGTAATAGTTGTGGATAGATTATTGAACGACATATCCTAGTTTATCATAACCTAACCTAACCTAACCTAACCTAAACTATCAAGAAATAGACAATTATGAAGATGTTCTGTATAACACAACAACATATAACACCTTCCCTCCTCCTCCTTCTCCCTCCTTCTCCCCCTTCCTCCTTCTCCTTCTCCTTCCTCCCTCTTCCTCCCCCTCTTCTCTCTACCGGTGTCTAAAAGTCACTCATCGTCTGATCTAATTAAAAAATAATTATTGGGTATTGGTTTATTTTCTTCTTTTAAATTTGTCAAGTGAGAGAGAGAGAGAGAGAGATGAACAGACATACAGACGGATGGGCAAACGCACAGACAGGCAGGAAGAAAGACATATAGACAGTCGGACTGACAGACCGACACACACACACAAACAGACAATCCTACAGTCCACCTCTAGTTCCTTCTGCAGCAAACTATACAGTGAGCTTCAGTGTGTGTGTGTGTGTGTGTGTGTGGGTGGATAACTGAAATGTGTCTGGGTGTGTGTTTATTTCGACTACTGAAGTAATAATAATAATAATAATAATAATAATAATAATAATAATAATAATAATGATAATAATAATAATGATAATAATAAACGGTTAATTAATAGAGTTGCAGCCGGTGGCTGAAAATATGCAAACTTACATGTGATTTAGACATAATGATATGCGTTCAATACATTAACAGGGCTGTACAGTACATAAATCAGGAGTAGTTTATTATTTTAACAATAGATGTGATGGTGCTGTTCTTATATCTATCGGTGCGGGCTCTTATGGGCTGAATTTTGTTGTAGTGGCGGGATGCGCGAGGTGGGTGGGGGATTGCCGGTGGCAGGAGGTGGCGATGACGAGGATGATGCAGTGTCCACTGCCAAACCTTGCTAGTGCTTGGTGGTGGAGGTCACTGAGGGATGGCATTTCCAGGGTGGAGAGAGCGTTGTTGTAGCCGGAGTAGTCTGCGCCGGGCATGATTCTGCAGGCCCTTTTCTGTATCTTCTCTAGCTGACGTTGTTGGGTGGAGTTGAGAGAAGACGACCAGGCTGGTGACGCATAAGTTAGTTTGGGGAGAATAAAGGCGTTGTAGATGGTCCTCAGCTCTGGCGTGGGTGTCCCAAGCGACCTAAGTCGTCGTACCATGTAGAGTCGGTACGAGGCTGCCTGGATTGTGTTGTTTAAATGGGCCTTCCAGTCCAGTTTGTGGTCTATGGTAACACCCAGGAGTTTGGCAGACTGCACCAGCTGGAGAGGATGGGCACCCACTGTGACTGCTGGAGCTTGCACTGGGGTGGTGGCGGTATTGATGTGCATGACTACGGTTTTGGTGTGGTTGATGGTGACCTTGTTCTCCGTGGTCCATGCGTGTAGTCTGTCCAGGGTGCCTTGTAGCGATGAGTAGTCTGGTGCGGTGTTGTCCACTGTAACCCCCACAGTGCAGTCATCCACGTACTTACACCTGTGAGGAGTGTCCGACAGAGCGTCGTGTATGTGTGTGTGTGTGTGTGTGTGTATGTGTATGTGTGGGGCAGTGTTCACGTCGGCAACTGTGCTACATTTTTTCCTCCAAGCCGTGAGTCGTCCTTTAGCCCTGTAGTCATAGCAACCTTACCTCTGACGACCAACTGGAATTGAAGTTTTCATTCCGAGTGACCTGATGTCTTTTTGTTCCTTTGCGGCGACCAAAAGTATGATTTATGTTATTACGTTATTTTGAGGCGTTGATATTAGTCACGGATTGAAAGGTATTGTAAGTATTGTCTGCAACTAAATGGGTATTGAACAATGAAAGTAATTTTGCTCTCATTATGTTCTTGTAAGCTTACGCAATGATACGGTAAAATTGAACACACACACACACACAGGTTCTCACAACAAGATACCCACAACAATGTATCCACAGCAAGATACCCACAACACGATACCCACAATATACCGAAAAGATGCCCACAACAAGATACCTACAACAAAATACCCACAAGATACCAAAATGATACCCACAAGGTACACACAACATGATACCCACAATAAGGTACCCACAATAAGGTACCCACAATAAGGTGCCCACAATAAGGTACCTACAACAATATACCCACAAGGTACCCACAAAAAGATACCCACAATAAGGTACCCACAATAAGGTACCTACAACAATATACCCACAATAAGGTACCCACAATAAGGTACCCACAATAAGGTACCTACAACAATATACCCACAAAAAAGTACCCACAATAAGGTACCTACAACAATATACCCACAAGGTACCCACAAAAAGATACCCACAATAAGGTACCCACAACCAACGCTCTCAAACTAACATGGTAAACTGAACTAAAACTCCCAGATAAGAGTAAAGTTTAATCCGGCAGCGACTGAGCCTCTGTTGAGCTGATGGTCCCTTAAAAGGCCAACAGATAAGCACATGCAGGATATATTATTAAAGTAGAATAAAAGGTAATAATCCG